TAATTTTTTTTTTTATATATATATATATATATATATATATATATATATATATATATAGATAAAATCATACATGACAACCATCAATCCTGAAAACTGATGGATTGGTCTAAATTAGTGTTTTTTAATCGGTATAATCAACAATCTTTAAATACAAAATTTTTACCAAAAAAAATTTATTCTATAATTATTTTAATTAAAATAGATTTTGTTTTTACATTTTTTGTTTAATCAATATTAATAAAACAAATATTACTATTACTTTATTTCATACGTACGTAAATAACATGAACATGTATTTAGAAATTTATTACGAACTTTTTAACTGCTTATTGAAGTATTCATTATTGAAACATTGAAAAACACTTATCTAAACTATGAATATATTTTTCCCAACGATCTGTAATACAATGTTAAAAAATTTATTAAAATGGAAATAAAGCTGTATAAATAGATATTGTGTATTAAAGCTTTAGTTATCTTAAGTTTTTCAACTGCTTTTAGAAAATATTGAATTGTAATTTGGCATTCTTAAAATCAATCAATATATCCTAAAAAGCATTGAATGCATATCAGAAAATTGACAAATTTTTATTTAAATTACAAAAAGTTAATGAAAATTATGTAAAATGTGAAATAAAATTTGTATTTTATATGTTTATTTAGTATATATGTATATATTTTAATATTTAATTTGATACGATAATGAAAGTTAATAGGTGAATACATTTTTTTTAAATATGAATCGTTTATTGTATGCAATTCATACAAAATGTTACAAAAAATAAATTATTTGCGTATATTTGTAAATGTAACTTGTCAATAATATTTTGCAATTTTATTATATGTAAATACCTTGTATTATTAAACTAATTAAAACTACAGTGCATCAGGTCTTGTAAATTGGCAATGAGCAGGATACGATACTTGACATTATTTCAATTATTGTAATGGACTGCCGACTGACACATTAATACAAAATCCAATATCACACATACACAAAATAATCCTAATTATTGTATTTTATTTTGAAGCTAAATAAATGTCATTCGGAAATATGCGTGAAATCGCTACGTACAGTGTCATTATATTTTTCGAAAATAGAAATATGAAATTGTGATTAGAAAAACTCGCTAAAAATAAAATTTATTTCGTGTAACATTGGCATAACAAAATAAAGTTAAATTAACAGATCTGTAGATTTTATATCTTTAGTTTGTAACCAAAAATGAATAATTTTATCATAACTGTCATAACTGCTAATTGTATATGCTAAATTCATTATATACAATGCAAAAAAAACTATAGAAAATATATTTAATATTAGAATTTTTTTCAGTTCTGACAGTTTTGATTTAATAAACTGCAGCAATAAGTTCAAATTTCAAAAATATATAGCATTACATTCATCATGTATATTAATTTATATTTTATATTATACTACTAAAAGTAGCACCAAACTATATGCGATTCGTAATAAATTTACAGAAATTAATCATTTATCAATATGGATTTTCCATAATGTTCGCGATTTGTGATTTATTATTTATTTATATATAATCCAGCTTATGATATAGATATGATAGAAAACCTTATTCAGCAAGAGATGGGAAGATATAAATTTCTCGCGGTCACTAAATCGTTCCAAAACTGTATTTCTAGAAAGAACAAATGTATATGTTCTAGAATTTGATATTTACAAAGGGCTTAATCAATTGAAATTAAACAGAACGTTAGTAGTTTTATTTTTTTTACATAATGGTAATGACTTTTAAGACACCACATCTCCTGATAATAGCTCTTTTTAAATACGAATAGAAACACAGTTCATACATAATTATACTTTATTACTATTACATTTATCGAAAATGATGAGGCAAAGTTTCACATTCAAGTTTCCAAAATCAACAAAAACTAACTTGATTTATTTTAATTTCGTTAAAATACTGTTTTGTTAGTGACTCGACATAAATAATAAATAAATAATTACAAATTTGATGAATCTGCCTTTCTAAATGAGTCTTCGAATAGCAAACTGCACATAGGGCGCTAGCTTTGAATTAACAATTTTATTATTTATTATACAAAAACATATTTAACTTTGTAATTTACATAACTACATCGATGTGCTGTTATAACTATATGCTTATTTTCTTGCAATTCAGATTAGCAATATCTTAATTGTGGTTCAGGTTGTACCGATATAATTACCCCATCTGTAATGCGCGTTATAAGTGCTAACAAAACATCCTGATCGATGCTCTTTGATAGTCGGTTATAAATCTGATTTTCTACAAAGTTTAGCTTCTTCTGTTGTGACAGAGAACTGTTAGTTTGCATAGTAAGAATGTAAATAGCTTCTGCTACTAAAGGATTTATTCTATCGCATAAATTATGTAATGCCTTTATTGCTTCTGTATTAATATTCAGTATATCGTGAATAATCTGCAACAAATTTATTTGATTGTACAAGTCAGTTCATATAAATAGAGTTTATATTTAAAATATATGCATACTCACTACAACTTTTTTTTTCTCTGGAGAATGTTCATTTAATGTAGTAATGATCTCACCAGCATCGTTTCCAAAATCTTTTGGATTAAATATCAGATAATTATCTGCATTCAAAATATCACTGCTTATATGTGCTAGTTTAGTAGCTAAACAATTCATTGTAGTTGTTTCCTTTGCAAACAGCAAAATTACTGAAGGTATTTTGGGAGTTCCTGATTTCACTTCGTTTATAGCACATGAAATATCACTCCAGATATCTAATTCTTGATTATAAAATGATGCTTTGAGGTTTTGGACTGATTCAGTTAACAATAAAGGATTATTGAGGATTATAGACTGTCCTTTATTGTTTAAAGGTAATTTGAAAAATATTATTCCTACTACTAATCCTAATATGAAAATACAGAGATAAAGATTACTGCTTGTATTCTGTTCATTCTTCTTAGTATCTCTTTCATACTTTATTTTCTGTGAACGAACATTTCTTTCTAGAGAGGTAGTTCTGGAGCGATTTTGTGAACGATGTAGAGACAGTGTCTCTTCGTCTTCCTCACTAGAACTTTCTGTCACTTGTATATTTTCATAACTTTGATTTTTAAATAATTCTTCAGTTTCGGATGAATTTGATATATTTTGCTGTCTTGATATTATTCTTTCCATTTCTAAACTTTGAAAATTATTGTTTAAGGAATAGTGTTTGCTTGTATCTTCTGATCTTGGAGATCTTCTAGATTTGAGTTTAGATGATATGGATGTTATTGGTGGGCTGTGAATCTGCAAAATAATAATACATTATCTGTTACACAAGTAAATCAGAAATGGTCATGCAGTCTTAGTAATGCCTTGCAACCAAATTTAATTTACCCTGTAGTATACCCTGTATTTACCGTAATATTTACCCTGTAGTAATCATGTATTGTAATCATACATAGTGTGTATTCTACAATACATGATTTCTGACAGGTTGAAATTCTTATTCTCTGTTCTCTGTTCTCTATTCCTTTTATTATACGGAGCCCCTCAGTATAACTCTTAAATAGAATCTGTTTGTCAAGTTATATTTCAAAGATAGATGTTGCATGTAGTGACAAGTGATATATGAGATTTTAATCAATATACTTTAAAGAGGCTAATAAAAAATAGGAAGTAAGGTAAATATCCCTTTTTGTGACCATGTAAGATAGTCGCATGAATTAATAAGAATAAAAAATACTAAAAAATAATTAAAATCAGGAATCAATTTTACCGAACTCAAGATTAATTATTTTTGTATCGAAAAACATGTTTTTCTGAAGTTCTAAGCATAATCTAATAAAAATAAAAAAAGAAATAGTGGACTATGTAAATGTACGCATTTGTGACCGTTTGAATTTAATCTGGCCCTATTAGTGACACCACCATCTGTCCCGGTTAATGACTGGTGCATCAGATGAAATGTACTATTTAGTGACCGGCGGATTAATTTTCTTGACGTCAATTTGATATCACGTTGACGATCATTTCTCGTTCAAGTATCGATAAAAATATACTTACTCGATGCGTTTTCGCGTAAAAATAAAGATTTGACAGAAAAAAAGCGTCGTGTTATCCTGTGAACAGAGATATTAGCCTGATATTTCATGTATCTTTAATCAAACTTAATGTCTATTTAGAAAATCTATCACTGCCACAAAATATACGATGCGCACACGTGCTGCAGTCGTACTTTCGTGCTCTATGGCCACAAGTTACTCGCTGTAGTACAGGGCACGAAATTTGAACTCAATAGCACACACTAAATATGATAAGCTTTCTTAATTTGGTCAAAGAAATTACTTATACTTACTCAATGCTTAAGTTGTAAACAAATAATTTAAAGCTGTGGTCATAAATAGGTACAGAAACACACGATGTCCCACTTAGTGACCTAATCAAAAGTTACTAAAATTTTCCCTCGAGCATACGTCGAATATTTTCGATTTATTCGTACAAATGCAATTCACACTTGTCCATAAACATATAGAGATGAGTATTAATTGTTTTCTTTTCAAAAAGAGGAGCGATATTTAATATTATGACTAATTTTCTTGTGAGGCGGTCACAAATGGAAACATGCGTTTTGTTGTACCTATTTGTCACATTCATCTATATGTTCAAAATTACTAACCTTTTTTAGAATTCACGCATAGCACAATATTTATTAAGTATTCACTGACACACTTTTACGAAAAAACTATATTCTTCAACGTTTTATCCCGGACGACATAACAAAAGTGTGACTCTTCCGTGACAAACGCCGTCTACTAACACGTGGTCTGTTTTCTGTTCCTACACTAGACTGTTCTAGAACTCTCTTTCTCGTTTTAAACAAATATCAAACGTATATCTAGCTGGGTGGCACCCAGTTGGACACGGCTCAATTAAACACGAGCCACTCACAGCGCTTGAGACTACAAAGCTCCTAAGCACCGGTCGCTGTGATTGGTGGTGTCCAATCGAGCCGTGATCAACCGGGATCTCCCCTATCTAGCTCACATTAGGCCTGTTCTTTTTGGCTGAACTTTTGCACCAGTTCATCTTTTTTCCTCTTCTTTCCTCCTAAAGAGAAAAGGAAGAAAGATGAACTGGTGCAAAAGTTCAATCAAAAAGAACAGGCCTTTTAAGTTCCAAAAGTGTACACTAGTTCAGCCACAAAAAACAGACCTATAGCGACAAACATGTGCTCAATCTGCTACTGATGGAGACACGAGCACCTTATTTCATATTTTCATGAATATTTGTTAGTCAAATATCACTGAAACCATATATCAAACCATGGCTAACTAATCGTTAAACGTGATGAATACCCTTTGCGAAGATAAATTACATAAAACATCTGATTAATTTAATAAAAGTCCACCAGTGGTCACAAATAGGGACATTTACCTTAACATCCTAAAGAAAGTTATACATACATTGTTTGTATCTTCTGATCTTAGAGATCTTCTAGGTTTGGGTGTAGATGATACGGATGTCATTGGTGGGTTGTGAATCTGCAAAATAATAACGCAACACATGGACAAGATATGAAGAGGAATCGCAATCGCGCATAAGCGAAATGTTAGTAGAATGCCAAGACCCTCTCTATATATTTAAACAGAATACTGCAAACTGACATCATTTGCACATTTGCTTATATTTTATTAGCAGAAATTGACACAATTTAACAGCAAAGGAATCAAGACCGTGTGTTCAAATTTATACTGGCAATATTGAAAATCTATAGTGTAAACAGTTGACAACAGAGAAAAATATCAGGGCGCTCCTTGTCTCGATCCCAGGCCTGGTCTCTGCTCTGAGTTGGTAGACTTTGACGATGCCAATGAGCCACACAGCTCTGATGCTGGTGGTCTCTCTGTTGTGTCTATATCTAGTAAATATCTTACAATAGTATATATAACATGAATTATAAATTTCAGTACTGGTAGTATACATATATAAAATACGGCCAAATACAGCCTAAGTAGACTATGGGTTTTTTTATTCCTGCATTTTCACATGGTGCAATAAGTTAAAGGTCTTAAGTACACACAAATTGTATATATTTTTTCTTTATATAATTAAAGGGTTATCTCATGATTAACTTTTAACCGAGGTTTAACTTATTTTAAGTAATAAGTAATAATGAATGTAAAACTGGGCCTAAAGGGCATTCTACAATGCATTGCAAACACCCGTTGCCAGTTGAAACGTTTGTCCCGACAATCAATTAGAAGCATTAATGGTGTTATTTATGCTTCTGATTGGTTGTCGTGACAAACATTTCAACTGGCAACGGTTGTTGGCAACGCATTGTAGAATGCCCTTAAGGGCCACTTTCACCATTGTCGGTTAACTTAACCAGTCTAGTAACTGTAATGAAATAGAAAGAGATAGAATTATTTCTATCTCTTTCTATTACATTACAGTTATTAGGCTGGTTAAGTTAACTGAGGTGAAAGTGGCCCTAAGTGAGCCCCATGTAACTATTGGTTAACCGAAGTTGGTAAAAGAGACCCAAAGTGAGAAACAAACATAAATTTGTTTCACCTCAACTTAATAGGTCTGTTTCTTATTGCTGCACTTTCTGAACTAGTACACGCAGTACAATAAGTTGAGGTGAAACAAATATTACGTTTGTTTCACTTCAACTTATTACACCGGTTCAGAGTACAGCAATAAAAAACAGACCTATTGCATAGGGTGCACTAGTTCAGAAAGTGCAGAAATAAAAAACAGACCTTGATGTATTTAAAATATTTAAATAATTACAAAACAGCAAATTCTGCCTAGTCAGTTTTTGCAGTTAATCTATTATTAACATCCTGCTTGCAACCCTCGCAGGTTTTGCTATATTTTTACTGGCATATTACCAACAAAACATGTAACGCGCATAATTAAAAATCTATTTTCGACAAATTTTACCGTTATCTACGTAATGTAAGAGAAAAAAATCTCGCATGTAACAGTCGAGGATTTCATTCGCTTATCTCGACGAAGACGAATACGACTTTTCAGAAAAATCAATGAAAATGAGTAGCAATGAAACCCAAAAGCATATACCTTGCACATTCCGCAATTTCCGCAGCCGGTGGCCTCATCTGAATCTCCATTCATATTTTATCATCACAGAAAGATATAACCTCATCATACAGTCGCAGCAACTAGTTGTATCGCGAGTATCTGCGATTATCGCAAATGATCGCAAATTTGCCGTAGAAACGTCGCCCTAGTGGCTCTAGTGCCAATATGTGAGCTAGTACCAGCCATGCACGATTGATAAAGTCGAGATTCGAGATTGGCGTTAGTTTCAGAGTGGTCACCGGTCGCCACTCGATCAGCATTAGTTAGATGACGTGGATACGTGAATGCGGCCATTGCGACAATTGACAGCAACGCGAGCGGTGAGTCGCACATTTGCGAGGATCCGGCTCATCCGGCTGCCGTCGTCGTCGTCGTCGCCAAATCTAAGAGCGTCAATGAACGTCCGGATGCGAATTTGAAGTTGCTATACGGTGACAACATGTGCGTTGGTCCATTGAAGAAATTATGCCATTGGGGACCGCTCTCCTCACTCGGTACGTCACAAGTGTCTCTCCAGTCCGGATGGACTGCGATCATTTTTCGTCTCATCGTCAATCGAACGTCATCTCGTCAATGAAAACATGATTGATCTCTCATCAGCTACATTCAAATATATAATAAGAATGATTAACTTGACTAAATTCCGATTAACTTAATTGAAGATGATTAACTTGTCAACATAGAACTTTTGTATGTAGATTAATTATTAATTTTTTGTCATTTGATATGTGTAAAGAAATATCAATGAAATTATGTAAGAAAAGTGTAAGAATCTGATGAAAGAGGTAGAGGAGATATAGATGAGAAAATATTACCTGACACTTGATAGTAATATGATGTTTGAAAGGCTAGGAAAAATAAAATAGAAGATTTTCCTGGACAAGTAAGGAATTAAGGAAACTGAAGAAAATATTGAATGATTATAAATGAGATAATAAAAAGAAGAAACTGACAATCAAAAGCAAGGATTTTATTGTATTTAAATACAGTACATTGACGAGAGTCCAGTTATTTGTTATTAATTTATCATTGTTTACCAATTTTGAGTTATATAATTTATTATCTCTGAGCTAATTTTGTGATGTATCAAATGACAAAAAAGACATTGTTCATGTTAACGAAATATTACTTGATAAGTTAATTGAAATTCAATTAAAGTCATCCTAAAGTAGTACATGGTAGATTTTTAAAAATTTATCAGTAATATCAAGAGATATGTTTCAGCAAGCTAGATGACAAAATATAACATGGTGAATTATTTCATCTTTGTTTAACATTGGTAAATAACAAGAATGTAACGATTTACTGTATAACACCGTGTCATCTGTGCCTCTTGCTTGAAAGCACCCAATAATAGCTTAATATCAATAACATATTGGAAAGAATATATACTATAATGTTCTGTTATATTTAAAAGGCTTTTGCATGATTTTTTTACACATGTGTAAAATGTTTAGCTCATTTTATTTGATATTATAAATAATATAAATTATAATTTGGTTTGTGAGATTACCAGCACAAAATCTTGATGGCAAGGAAATTAGTTGTAGATTGCAACTTTTATTATATTACTTTGTGTTGCAGCGATGATAAAGTTTATTACGTTGATGACGATACACTGTAGTAGACAATGGTGGCCACCGCAAGATAGTATCCCAGCGGCTGCAAGTTTCTTACTGTTCTTCACTCTCAGTGGATTGACTCTCTTCCATTTTATCAGCGCGATTGTTGAAGGACCCGGATATCTCACATTAAAATGGATGCCAGTAATATATATTACACATTTATTATTGAACCTGTTTAAAAAAATGAATACTTTTTTTCACTCCCCTTTGCAAATAACTGAAAACCCGTAAACTTAACTTCTCGTTTTCTTTTCCATTGTTTTACATTTTTTTGATTACTAATAGGAACAAAAATTAAAACAAATTTATACGATCCTAATTTCAAATTAGAAGAGTTTGACTGTATTAATTTAATTTTTTAAACATTATTTAAATATTTAGGCAGTAAACATGATATTGTTACGTCGGACTTTATCATATTTAAATTATAATAATTAATGATAAATTTATAATACAAAGCATGTAGATTTTGTCGTATTATTAATTAATATGTTTGCACTAATATGATTCGTTTTCAGGAAAAAGCTACAGATATACAATATCTGCAATACTGTATTGTCTGCCAAGGTTATAAGGCACCGAGATCACATCATTGTAGAAAATGTAAGAGATTAAATATAATGTAATTAAAACATAAAGTAACAAAAGTAATAATAAATATAGATATTACTTAATATAGATATTACTTAAATATTAATATGTTTTTAAAAGATTTGTAAATTTGTTACTACGATGATAATATAATTTAACGATTTTGGTGCTTTTTCTATTTTGCTACTCTTGCTCGTCAATCTACTTATTGATAGAAAAACACAAAACATAGCATATATACATTAAAGAGTTTAAAGAACGTTGTTTAATTTTCCAATACAACTCTATTTTTATTATTTTACACTGTTTCTATTTACTTTTTAGGTAATCGTTGCGTGATGAAAATGGATCATCACTGTCCATGGATAAATACATGTGTCGGACATTATAATCATGGACATTTCGCAGCGTTTTTGGCAAGCGCAATCGGTGGTTGTTCCGTCTCTTTCATTATATTAACTTCCTGGATAACAACCGTATTATCACTGAAACCTTTGCCATTCCCACCACCAGAGTTCTATACAATAATATTAGTCGTATTTAGTATTGGTGCATCAGTTGGCGTTGTACTTGCAGTAGGAATGTTATTAAGTGTCCAGGTAAATGTTTTTAATACTCTTATATTCAATTGATGCGTTAATTGTATAATTCTTCAAATTGCATAGATATTAGCCATCTTGAGAAATCGAACAGAAATAGAAGATTGGATTCTGCAGAAGTCCCAATGTTGGCGAAATGATACAGATGTCGAATATATACATCCATATTCAAAAGGATGGCTTTTCAATATTAGTCAAGTTCTTACATGGGATTGTACTCCTGTCGGCGATGGCATTACATGGCCAGTTATTGATGGCTGTGATCAATATACATTAACGGTAATTTTATTTAATTAATAATATGTCATAATAATTCTACAATAATTATTTATTTTAATATGACATATATGACAAAAATTTACATAAATATCGCTTACGCGCGTATATTATTATTAACTCTTAGAAACTGTAAGTATAATATGTTAATTATTATTTTGCAGAGAGAACAGCTTGCTCAAAAATTAGACAAACGGAAAAAAGCACGCATATATAGGATTGTAAAAGTTGCATCAGGGTCTAAATTTCCAATTGGACATGGTATCGGCGTATTTTTTCATCCACTTTGTACTGATGAATCTCGCATTAAGTTGGATGTAGATGATATTGTGATTGTAACACGGTGGAAGAAGTATGCATTTTGTATATAATATTGAATTATTGAAAATTAATTTTTTAATTAAATAATTTGCTAATTTACGAAAAATTTTTATACTTTTTTTGCAGATATTGGTTATTTGGACGAAAAGAACAGAAAGAAGGAGAAGATGGAAAATCGAAATGTATAAGGGGATGGTTTCCACGGCCCTGTGCGATGGAAGTAATAGAAAAATCTGTACGGCTTGGATAATTTATCCAAAATAATTTATTAACTTTAGAAAATTTATGTGACAACATTTGTGAAGATTTAAGAATCTATTTATATAATAATTTTGTATTTTTTAGTAGTAAAAGCTGTGAAGAATAAGTTAGAAGAACATTACACTCCATACCTGTTTGTGTTCAAATTGATATATTTTTTTTGTATTTATACCTCAAACCAATCAGTAGATTAAGATATATTATCCTACTATTAAGATATAAGTGTCATACATTATAGCATTCATTGCATATAAATAAGTAAAAATATTGTATATAAATTTTTACTTATCAAGATATTTTGATGAGTTCTTATATAGCGTAACAGTTTTGTTGTACAATATACATGTAATTATATACGTATTTATACATATAATTTAATAATTATATACATATATGTAATAATTATTTAAAAATGACATGTAAATATGATCTATAGCAACAAACTTACTTTAATTAGAAAAATATTCTAATTAAAAATATTTTAAATTATTAAAACATAAGTTTTTTTATCAACTTTTTATAAGAAAAAACATGTATTACAAGAACTTATATATGTTTTAAGACAACAGGAAAGATATTTGTAAACAAATGAATACAATAAATATTTGATGTGATTTGCGATGTGATTACGAAGTAATCTGAAAAAAGTATATTCCCAGCATGTATACAACCGAGACGGTCTGAAAAGGCCGTGGAAAATCAATAATTCAGTGTGAAAAGTCGCATTGACTGAGTGAACTCACTATATACGTGTCAGAGTACATGTACAGTGAGTACAAAAAGTATTCGTACAGAGAAAATATTTTTTTAAAACTTATTTTTTTAAATTAAGTATCCAGCGAGAAATGAGTCGTCGAATTGATATTGAATCGATATCGATACGATGATTTCAATACCAATTTGACGTCGAATCGACGTTTAATTGATGATCATTTTTTGCTGGGTAATTAACAATTTATTCATAAAGTACAAAATAGATTATGGAGAGCGACTTAAAATTATCCACCACTCACTGAGCGCTACATAACCTTACGGTCTAAACACGCGCATTAGAGAAATAATAAACAGTAATAAATAAGTAAGAAATACGATATTAAAGATCATCTAGTAGACAAAGTTATTCTATGTTACGAATTATATAATAAGTATAAACATATTAATAATAGATTAATCCCTTTTTTGTTCAGTGAGCGCTCAGTAAGCGGTCGTCGCTTCTGGATGCATCCATTGTATAAAATTGCTAATTAATGTTTATTTTCTACAAATAAGATGTT